GCAGCTGGCCAGCCTTACGACGGCCGCCGCGCAGCCTCTGGCCCCAGCAGCCTTGGCCGTTGCACAGTCACGGGCTCCCCCGGCGGCCCCCGCACAGCGGGCGCAGCGTGCCGCCGTTGGCCCTCCAGGCTGTCTGTCTGTCTGTCGTCGGGGTGCACGGCGGCGGCGGACTTGCACGTCCAGGTGGGTGCCATGGGCGTGCGCATCCAACATGCGGCCCGCAGGGGGGCGCTGTCAGCAAACGTTCTCCCCCCTTTTGGGGTAGCGGTAGGGGATGCGAACCAGCCAGCCGTGGAGGTCACTTTTAAGACTTCCCCTCTCATGAAGTTGACCATCCAGCTGGTGAGTGAGCGCCAGGGCAGGGTGGTGGTGCACGGCAAGCGTTCCGCTTTCGATGCTAATATTGAGGAGCTCTTGCTCTTCGTCGGTCGTGTGGCGCATGTTGCCTCCCCTGCGCCGCCGCCGGTAGCGGCGGCGGCGGCCGGCGCGGGGCAGCGCCGCATGTCAGCGCGCGAGTTGCTGTCGCTCCCCACTGAGGGGGCCAGCTGAGCGATGCGCGACTGGCGCCGCTGTTTTTGTTGCTTGCCCCATCGTCTCCTCGTCTGTGCTTGCCCCGCCTTCTTCTCTCACCGCTTCCTACTCACTGTCCTGCAGCTGCGTCTGGGGGCGGCGCCCCGTCTGTCAGGGGGCCCTCGAGGCTATCCTGGGAGGGGGGGGCGCGCCGGTCGAGGCGTGTTTATCAGCAGCCAGTACCCCTTTGACTACTGCGGCGCGGGGTTGCGAGCGGGGCCACGCGCGAGGCTGAGAAGGCCTGGCGCCTGCAGCTGCTCTCATGCCGCCATCATGCGTGGGGAGGGCATGTGATCAGTGGGTCTTGGTTAGCAGCAGTCTCGAGCGGTTGTTGGGACCATGCTAACGATGCCCATGCCGCGCCCCCTATACTTGCAGTTGCCATGATTTGTATGCCTCGTGCGACGTGCTTCCCTGGTTTAGCAGGTCGTCCTTCGTCCAGCGCTGTCGTGTCGGAAGGGGCCGTTCTCCGCAGTCTTGCCGCGGGCTGAAATGCTCTACTGTGACTGCTTACGCATGCTGATGGTGTGCTAGCCCCTCCTGCCGCCCCCCTCCCTTTTGTTGACCTCGTCGTGGCCGTCGTCGCTAACTGCCTCCTCTTGCATTGCTGAGGCGAGGGGGCTAGTCGGCGAGGGGCGGTCGAAGGAAGCTCAGGAGCATGGGTTACTGCATGACATTGGGGAGGGGCGTTCTGGTGCTCATTTGTCCTCTATTGTATTGCATTGCGCCGCGCGCCCACCCAGCAGGCTACCCCCCTTGACATGGGCCCAGGGCGCAAGTGATCCCCCCTCCGGTTGGCCCCGCGGGCACTGACGGAGCGGCTCCGCCCGCTGCGTGACCTAGTGCTCCGATGGGTGGAAGGGAGCTCGGGTTGGCTCCGCGTCGCAGGATTTTCGAGGGGCGTCGACGCGTTGCTCGAGCTCGCCCCGCCACGTCCCGCTGGTGCCCGCGAGAAGGGGTGAATCGCTGTTGCAGGTCTTTTTAACGCAACGCAGGGAGTGGACCTTTTCCTCCGCAGACAACTGCGTCCCGCTCTGCGCTCTCGGGCAGGGGCCGTGCCAGTGTGTTCGCCATTTGCAGGGGCGGTGCCTCATTTCGATCCCCATGTAGCGGCGGCTGCGCCTGGGTGCCCTCTTGCGCCGCCTAGCGAAGAGCAGTTGACCTCAGCGGCTTAGAACCCCGGCAGGTCATGTTTTTTTGGCACCTGGGGTCTGAACTCCTAATGGAATGGCGCTTGGAGGCGGTTGCCCACGCTCTAGACCAGGATGGGGTTGACATCTGCGTCCTGCCAGGCTCCCGCCTCCCGCCCGACGCAGTGCTCCCTTCTGCCTTTCCTTGCCTGGTTGAGGGCTCAGGCTCTGCGGATTGGGATTCGGTGGCAGTCTTCTACCGCCCGGGGCTCGAGCTGGCACTCCGGCCCCTTGCGGATTTTTCCCAACCTCGCGAGCAGTGGTTCGCGCTCTGGCCCGCCCCTCCAGCGTCCTCCCCCTCCTTCCTGCTTTGCTTTCCATGCGCGGCCGGGGGGCGACGAGGCCACGTGGGCGACTGTGATTTCCCGTGCGGCTGAACTGCGCGAGCGTTGCCCGCGGGCTAGGCTCCTCTTGGCGGGAGACGCCAACGTCCACTTATCCCACGTTGTGGCCCGCAGGCTGTCTTGCACCTGCCTTCATTTTTGCCAGCGGCCGGCTGATCGCGCCATTGAGACCGCCCTGGGGGCGGCGGGCGGGGGCTGCGCGCCTTCAATCCGCCCGAACCCACCCATGTTTCCGGAACCTGTAATGACCTAGTGGTTGGGGCCGTGGGCAGCTCCGTGCCAGTCAAGGTCATGCCAGACTTAATCGGCGGGCCCGATCATAAAATGGTCGTGCGCGCGTGCCCTGTGCACACTCTGCTCCTCTGTCCCTGGGATTCGGCCGCGTTTTCTGGGCGTCGGGTGCGGAGTGGGAGGGCGGGCTGTCTGCGGTGGCCAGCCTGCTGGACCACCTCGCAGACCTGGCTGACAGCGCAGCTGGGGCCCTGGCGCTTAAGCCAGCCTGTTTCGGGGGGGTCGCGTCCAGGGCGGAGCGTAGAGCCGTGGTTGACGTTGCAGCGTGGGCGAGGGATGCGGTCTATACCTTGACCGACGACGCCGCGGGGGCGACGAAAGCGTTCCGAAGGCCGACGGGCAGCCGGCCGGCGAGTCGCGCCCCGCTGAACCCTGCTCTGTTTTCGGACCCCATGGCGTATGACTCGCCCCACTTCGGCGCACCCATCACACGTTGTGCGTTCCCGTCGGGAGCCCCACCGGAGGCCCTATTAGCTACGTCCGCATGGTGACTCGCCCCATGTCAGCGCACCTCTTACACGTTTCGTGGCCCCATCGAAGGCCCCACTGGCTGCGTCTGCATGGTGGCGCGCCCCGTTTCGGCGCATCCTTCACATATATCGGGGCCCCCATCAGGGAGCTCTACCGAAGGCCACAGTGGCCGCGTCCGCACGGTGACTCGCCCATGTCGGCGCACCCCTCGCACATTTAGTGCATTTCGTGGCTCCTCTCAGGGAGCTCCACTGAAGCCCCAATGGCTGCGTCTGCATGGTGGCTCGCCCCATTTCAGCGCACCCTTCGCACGTTTCGTGGGCCGCACAGGGAGCTCCACCGAAGGCCTCATTGGCCGCGTCCGCATGGTGACTTGCCCCCTGTCGGCGCATCTCACACGTTTCGTGGCCGCCTCGGGAGCTCCGCCGAAGGCTCCACTGGCTGCGTCCGAATGGTGGCTCGCCCAGTCTTTACGCACCCCTCATACGTTTCGTTGCCCTAGAGGGAGCTCCACCGAAGGCCTCAGGGGCCGCGTCCGCACGGTGACTCGCATTTTGGCGCACCCCTCGCACGTTTCGTACCCCCACGTGGGGCTCCACCGAAGGCGTCAATGACTGCGACTGCATGGTGACTCGCTCCACCGAAAGCTTCAGTGGCTGCGTCGCCATTGTGACTCGGGTCCATTGTTGCGCACCGCTCACACGTGTCGTGGCCGCACAGGGAGTTTCGCCGAAAACCCCAGTGGCACGTCCGCATGGTGACTGGGCCTCTTGGCTGCGTCCGCATGGTGACTCGCCCCCCGAGTGGGCCAGGGAATTGTTAGCTTGCGGCGCAGTCGCGCCGCCCCATGCCTGGATTTCCGCGCGCTGCGCTGGAGTTGTGAATCGTTCCTCGAATTTTCCTTCCTTCTGTTTGCTCTGTCCCGCCCTCGTGGTCCGCGCCGCGTGCGTTTTTAGGCGTGTGTTTGAGTCGCGTGAATGTGTGCCGAGCCTGTTCCGCCTGTTTCCAACGAGGCCTGTTGATTATTCCCACGCTTATGTTCTGGGTTCTTCGCCAGGGTCTTCTCCCCCTCTTCCATTCTACTCCATACCTCTTCATAGCCTCCTTCTCATTGTTATCGTCCTCTTGCGCCCTTTCTCCTCCTCATCTCCTCGCCTCCTTCTCTTCCTCCCCCGTTCATCCTTGCCCTCCCCCCTCCCCCCCGCCCCTGGCGCTTCTCACCCTCCAGTCACGAGGCTCTCTTTCTATGCCCTTCTCTTGCTAATACAGTTGCGCCAGTCGTGGAGAAATCTTCGCAGCGACACGACACGATTTTCAATACAGGGCCCCGGGAAGGCCTAACTCTTTCCCAGGGCCGGGTTTTTCGCATCCTCAGTATTTTTCTGTGACGGCCCCGGGGCCTGGCGAGGGCCCTACAGGGGGCCGAAGTCGACCAAGAGCCTGCCGCCCTCTCGTTTCACGACGCGAGCATCTCTGTGGACAAATTCCAGACCCCCTCGCGTTGTGAAAAAATCACGGCGGGAGTTTATTTTGTTTTTTTTTCTGCCTGTGGGGGCCCTCGCCGGGCCCCAGGACCGTCAAACAATTATTGAGGATGAGAAACCAGTCTCGGGGAAGGGGTGCAGACTTCTGGGGGTCGATGTCATGAACAAATCATGACGTCGGGTGTGTGGGGACAAGTCTGCCTTCTTCGCGTTGGCCCGGTGCGCAGTGTCGGCGGCTTCAATTTCGCCGTCCCAGCGTTCAGAAAACCCCCATGTGCAGCGCTGTGTCAATAATGTTTGGCAAGCGTCTGCGTCATGCCTGGGCACGGAGGCCGACTGGGTCCCTTCGCTCAACGGCGTCTTTGTCGTTGCCTTGACCGTGCAATCCTCCTCTCCAGACGCGCTCGCGACCGAAGGTTCCTTGACCGTGTTCGGCCTCTGAAGTCCTCGCTGGGCCCTCGGACTGAGACAAAAAGAGTTCGGGACGCAAAGCGGGTCCCAGGGACGCACATCAGAAACATCGGGACATCGCCTGTTTAGGTCCTGTTGCTCCTCCTTTGCCGCTGCCGCTGCTGCTGCTCTTCTTCCTCCTCCTCCTCCTCCTCCTCCTCCTCCTCCTCCTCCTCCTCCTCCTCATCCTCCTGGCTCACGGCTCCAGGCCGGCCGCCACATGCGAGCAGCCCGCCTGCGCCACGGGAGGCCCCCTCCCCATGGGCCAGGGCCCCCGCGCGCCAGGCGAGCAGCAGCTCGCCTGCGTCCACTGCGGGTGCCCCGCCCCGGACCTCTACCAGACGGTCGGGGCGGAGATCCGCCTGCGGCAGTGCGCCCGGTGCTGCAGGACCGTGGACCCCTACATCGAGTTCGACACCCTGTTGGTGCTGGTCGACCTGCAGCTGCTGCGGCAGGAGTCGGCTACCCATACGAGTGGCCCTTCGCCGGAGCGGCCTTGAAGTGCGGGCCCGCATGGGGCCCCCCCAGCAGTGGCTGGCGCTCCTTGGTTTGAGTCGGGCATCTCCTTCTACGAGGGGAATGTTCAAATATAGTAAGTAAAAATTATCCCGGCAAAGCAACCTAACAGCGATGTGTAGAAGCATAGCTGGAAACATTGCCTGTGGTATTCATGTAAGAGTGCTGTTGTAGAATTCTGGTGTTCTCGCAGTCGCATTCGGATTCGCAGTGGCAGTCGCAGTGGCAACATCAGCGACAGTCGCAGTGGCACTGCCAGTAGTTGCAGTAGCAATAGCTACACTAGCAGCAGCAACAGCAGCAGCAGCAGTAATAGTAACAATAGTAGTAGCAGTAGAAGTAGTAGTGATGGTAGTAGTGGTAACAGTGAAGTAGTAGTTGTAGTGTGTGGAGTGAACGAGTAGGAGTGATGGGAGCAGTGGTAGTAGCAGTAGAACCACTGCTTTCGATAACGGTATCTCCAAATGAGATCTTTGTATACATGCATTGAGGTCTAAACAAGACACTGCTATCAACGGATGTGATTCCAAACGAGACACTGCTATCAACGGGTTGAGCCTCAAACGACACACTTGCATCCATGAGTGTAGCTCCAAAACAGGCGCTCCCATGAATGGATTTAGTGTGATGTCGTAGTAGTAGTCGTAGTAGTAGTAGTAGTAGTAGTAGTAGTAGTAGTAGTAGTAGTAGTAGTAGTAGTAGTAGTAGTAGTAGTAGTAGTAGTAAGTAGTAGTAGTAGTAGTAGTAGTAGTAGTAGTGTAGTAGTAGTAGTAGTAGTAGTAGTAGTAGTAGTAGTAGTAGTAGTAGTAGTAGTAGTAGTAGTAGTAGTAGTAGTAGTAGTAGTAGTAGTAGTAGTAGTATGGGCACGGACCCGTAAGACCTGAGTCTCCACCGGGGTGCTCGGCGAAGCCATTGATGATGATGATGATGATGATGATGATGATGATGATGATGATGATGATGATGATGCTGATGATGTGATGATTGAGGATGATGTGATGATTGATGATGATGATGAAGATGATGAGTCTTGGAAGTCTCGAAGTGAAGCTAATGAAAAAGTGGAAGTCTGGGAAGTGGAAGAGCACGAAGTGGCCACAGTTGGCTCCGGGCATTCAAAATGTGGCCCGGGAGTGGAGTTCTTGGAAATGGAAAAGCACGAAGTGGCCTACAGTTGGCTCCGGGCATTCAAAATGTGGCCCGGAAATGGTGTTCTGGGAAGTCCAAGAGCACGAAGTGGCCTACAGTTGGCTCCGGGCATTCAAAATGTGGCCCGGGAATGGACTTCTGGGAAGTCGAAGAGCACGAAGTGGCCTACAGTTGGCTCCAGGCATCCAAAATGTGGCCCGGGAATGGAGTTCTGGGAAGTCGAAGAGCACGAAGTGGCTTACAGTTGGCTCCGGGCATTCAAAATGTGGCCCGGGAATGGAGTTCTGGGAGGTCGAAGAGCGCGAAGTGTGCGATTGTTTGCTTAAAACGAGCCCGGCCCTCGCGTGTCCGGCTCCCGCCCAGACCCCCTTGGGGAGTCATCAGAGGCTTTCTTTTGACCCCATTAGAAACCTATTAGTCTTCGCTGTTAGGTAAATAGTACAGGGGCCACATATATATATAGATATATATGTATATATATATACAGATATATATATATATATACTTTTAAGTAATACATATTTTGTTTTTGCGTGTTTGCTGGCTAATTTACATTTTCCGTCCAAAATCCGACTGGAGGACACGCCCGACCTAAGCCTGGGTTCGGCCTCCCCGCGGCCTCCCGAAGCCGCGCAGAAAAGATCAGTCGCTCTCAGGGCCACTGCTTGCGTGGAGCCCGCGAGGAGGTCTACCGCCACATCCTGCGCAACCGCTGTGCGGCCGAGCCCGGGCTGCTCTGGCACGAGGCCTGCAGGTTCCTGCTGGTGTGCCTGATGCTGGACGCGCACGCGCGGCTGGCCCTCAGCTGGGACGGCGGCGCGCCCCCGGGGGCGGGCGCTCCGGCGGCCTGGGCGCTGCCCGGGTGGCGGGGGCGCTGGGGCGGCGACCTACCCCTGCTGCTCCTGGTCTTCCTCGAGATGGCCGCGTTCCTGGCCGCCGTGGCCGCCACGGCCTGTGCCTGGCCCCGCGGAGGTGCCGGCTGCCGGGAAGGGCCGGGGCCGGGGGCCAGCTGGCGGGGCGTGCTGGTGGCCACGTCCGTGTCGTCCTTCGGCAAGCTGCTGGGGCTGCTGGCGGTGATCTGGGGCGGTCGGGGCCGCGCGCTGATGCACGCGGCGGTCTCGGTCTTCGTCCTCGCGTCGAACGTGGTGGGGGTGAAGGCCGCGCTCGAGGACAGCCGCCTGCTCCCCCCTCTCCCGCTCCTCCTCCCTTCGCCTGCCCCCTTGTCCTCCTCCTCCTCCTCCTCCTCCTCCTCCTCCTCCTCCACCGCCTCCTCCTCCTCCTGTTCTGTTCAGTTGCTCACTTTGGTACCGACGGTCTGGGCACGGAGCGGACGGTCGCGCATGTGCAACAAGTCCCCAGCAGTGCTTGGCGGTCCGACCGCGGGCCATTGCCCAGCGCCTGCCCAGTCCCAGGAAGGGCCCTCCAAGTTCTAGGTCGGGCGTGTCCGCCTACAGGCGGATTTTGGACGAAAAATTAGAAATAGCCCGAAAACATTCAAACATATTTTAAACATAGTCGAAACATCGTCCCAAGACTATATTGGGACCATTTTTGCATTGCATGCGCCAGGCGTGTCTTGAAAGTGGGTTGACCCAAGTAGCCCAAGTAGCCCAAGTAGCCCAAGTAGAGGGTTTGACCCAAGTCGCCCGAGTATCCCAAGGAGCCCAAGAGTTTGACCCAAGTAGCCCAATTAGCTCGAGACACTCACAACTCGAACGCCGCTGCTCGAGACATCCTCACAACTTTGGCTACTTGGGCTACTTAGGCTACTTGGGTCAATCCCTCTACTTGGGCTTCTTGGGCCGCTCGAGACAACCTCACAACTCTGGCGCCGCCGCTGGAGACATCCTCACAACTCTGGCTGCTGTGGTTACTTGGGCTACTTGGGCTACTTGGGTCAGCCTTCTACGTGGGCTACTTGGTCCGCTCGAGACACCCTCACAACTCTGGCGCCGCCGCTGGAGTCATCCTCACAACTCTGGCTGCTTGGGTTACTTGGGCTACTTGGGCTACTTGGGTCAGCCTTCTACGTGGGCTACTTGGGCCGCTCGAGACATCCTCACAACTCTGGCGCCGCCGCTCGAGACATCTTCACAACTCTAGCTACTTGGGCTACTTGGGCTACTTGGGCTACTTGGGTCAATCCTCTACTTGGGCTGCTGGAGCCGTCCGAGAAATTCTCACAATTCTGGCGCCGCACGACTTGGGCTTGGGCTACTTGGGTCAACTCTCTACTTGGGCTAATTACTTGGGCCTCTCGAGACATCCTCACAACTCTGGCACCGCCGCTCGAGACATCCTCACAACTTTGAATACTTGGTCTACTTGGGCTACTTGGGTCAATTTTCTACTTGGGCTACTCGAGCCTCTCGAGACATCCTCACAACTCTGGCACCGCCGCTCGAGACATCCTCACAACTTTGAATACTTGGTCTACTTGGGCTACTTGGGTCAATTTTCTACTTGGGCTACTCGAGCCACTCGAGACATCCTCACAACTCGTACGCTGCTGCCCGAGACATCCTCACAGCTTTGGCTACTTGGGCTACTTGGGCTACTTGGGCTACCTGCAACCCTCTACTTGGGCTACTTGGGCAGCTCGAGAGAGTCTCGAAACTCCCACGCCTCCGCTCAAGACATCCTCACAACTTTGGCTACATGGGCTACTTGGGCTACTTGAGCCAGTGCTCTACTTGGGCCACTTGGGCCGCTCGAGACATCCTCACAACTCTTACGCCGCCGCTCGAGACATCCTCACATCTTTAGCTACATGGGCTACTTGGGCTACTTGGGTCAATCCTCCACTTGGGCTGCTGGAGCCGCCCGAGACATCCTCGCAGCTCTGCCGCCGCCGCTCGGGACACCCTCACAGCTCTGGCTGCTTGGGCTACTTGGGCTACTTGGGTTCACCCTTTACTTGTGCTACTTGGTCCGCTCGAGACATCCTCACAACTCGTACGCCGCCGCTCGAGACATGATCGCACCTTTGGCTACTTGGGCTAGTTGGGGCAGCGCTTTACTTGGGCCGGAAAAAAGTCACCGGGGGGGCTCGGATTGACTTTTTCTTCTGGCGTTTTCCGCCTCGTCTGATTCGGCTTGATTCTGCTACCGTGTTGACTCGAAGTGGCGTCTAGCTCGGCACGCGAGGCAGTCTGATGTTGCTGGTTGACGAGGTGTGATTCTGCGTTCGCCGCGCTGGGCTACTTGGAAAAATTAGACTATTGGGGCTATTTGGGTCAACTCCCTGTTTGGGTTACTTAGGCTACTCGGGTTACTTGGGCTACTCGGGCCCTTTGGGTTACTTTGGCTACTTGGGCTACTTGGCTCAAACCCTCTACTTGGGCTACTTGGGCCGCCCGAGACATCCTCACAACTCTGGCGCCGCCGCTCAAGACACCCTTACAATTTTGTCTACTTGGGCAACTTGGGCTAGTTGAGTCAACCCTGTACTTGGGCTATTCGGGTCACTCGAGACTGCGCCGCCGCTCGAGACTACTCGGACTACTTGGGCTACTCGGACTACTTGGGCTACTTGGACTACTTGGGCTTCTATGGCTACTTGGGCTACTTTGGCTACTCGGACTGCTTGGGCTACTTGGGCTACTCGGGCTACTTCGGCTACTTGGGGCAGCCGAGTGAGAGACTCCTCGCGCACGCGCTGGATTTTTGAGAATTCCTCCTGTAGAGGGACAAGCCTGACTTAACCAAAAGTGGGGGAAAATTGTGCGGGCGCCCCGGGGACCGGCGCTGGCTGTTCGCGGTCTGATGGCGAAAGCCTGCGACGGCGCGCCGGTTCCGCACATCGCCCTTTTGGTGGTGGAGGTAACATCGCCACATGGTGGTTGGGAAAAGTTGGGCGTCGCCAGGAGGCGGTGGAGGCAGGGAGTAGGAAGGAGAGGAGCAGAGTGAGGAGAGAGAAGGGAGGCAGATGGGAAGAGGGGCTGTAGTACGTGCGTGTACGGAGGCATCCTCGCCCAATGACGCCATCCTCCTCCTCTTCCTCCTCCCTCCTCCTTCTCCTCCTCCTCCTCCTGCTCCTCCTCCCTTCTCTTCCTCCTTCTTCTTCTGGTCCTGGTGCTCCTCCTTGTCCTTCGCATTTCCCTGCTCGGCGTTGTCGTCATGCCTTTTCTCTTAGCACTCGTGGTTCTTTTCCTCCTCCTCGTCCTCGTCGTCATCCTCTCGCTCTTCCTTTTCCTCTTCCTCCTCCACCCTTGTGCCCGTCGTCCTGCTGCTTCTTGCTCTCCCCTTCTCGATCGCATTTTATCTTCCTCGTCCTTGAACTCGTCGTCGCGCCGTCGTCGCCGCCGTCATCCCTGGTCTCCCCGTTCTCCTCGTCTCCCTCTTCCCCCCCTCCTCCTCTTTCTCCTCTTTCTCCTCTTTCTCCTCTTTCTCCTCTTTCTCCTCCTCCTCCTCATCTTTGTCCTCCTGCTCCTCCTTTGCACTCCTCCTCCTCCTTCTCCTCCTCCTCGTCCTCCTCCTCGTCCTCCTCCTCCTCCTCCTCTGGCTCCCACTCCTCCACCTCCTCCTCCTCCTCCTCCTCCTCCTCCTCCTCCTCCTCCTCCTCCTCCTCCTCCTCCTCCTCCTCCTCCTCCTCCTCCTCCCCCTCCTCCCCTTCGTCGCCCCCCGTCCTGCTCCTTCCTCCGCCCTTGTCCTCCCTCCCCCCCCTGGCGCCCTCGAGGACCGCCGCTGGGCCCGAGCCGCCTGCTCCGTGGCCGCCGGAGCGGCTGCCCGCACCCTCGCGGGCCTCGCCGCCCGGCCCGTGCTCGGGCTCTGAGTGGCCGCGGGCCCGTGCGCGGCCGGCCCGTCGTCGGCGCCAGCCGTCCCAGAGGGGCTCCCCGACGAGGAAAAGTCTCGGAGGTGGACAGGCCTCTCCTGCCCTGGCACGTCGATGGAGGAGTCGGCCGTTTTCGGTTCGCGAGAGGGCGTCGCGGCCGTCATTTCTGCGGGTCCAGGTCCGTCGGTTTCGGTCCCAGGCCGTGTTCACTAAGGGGAGGTTTACTAACGGGAGGTTTGCCCACCGCCGACAGAGGGGCTCCCCGACGATGAAGTCGGGCACGTCCCTCTACAGGAGGGATGTTCAGAAGAAGTCAACAAAAACAGTCTGGGAACGATGTGTGGACGATTGTATTGTTTTTGAGCATTTTTTATTATTTGCTTTCGTGCAAGTTCCGCCTGTAGGGGGACATGCTTGATCTAACCCTACGAGCCTCCAAAAGGGCCCAAGACTGCTCAAAAGGCCCCACAAAGAGCGCCACGACAATCATCCCAGACCCCCCTGGCGTCGCAGAGAAAGCACGGCGGGAGGTTGTTGACCGTCCCCGAGATCCTGGCGCCTCCATTCCCAACCATCCTGTGGTGTTGGGTCCTCGTCTTGAAGAGTCAGCGCCCCGCGTCCTTCCGTCCTTCCTTCCCTCCCTCCCTCCCTCCCTCCCTCCCTCCCTCCGTCCTTTTGGCTTCGTTGCGGTGCGGGAAGAAAAAACATCCCTGCCTCTGCTCTCCGCTTCAGCCTACCGTTTCGGCACACCCCTCACACGCTTCGTGGCCCCATAGGGAGCTCCACCCAGGGCCCCGCTGGCGCAGCCCGCGCGTAGGCGACACCCCCTCTCCCTCTTTTCGGCGCACCCCTCTCACGTTTCGCGGCCCCACAGGGAGCTCCTCCACCGATGGTCCTAGTGGCGCGGCCCGCATGTGGGCGACACCCCTTTTCGATACAGCCTTCCATACTTTTCGTGGCCCCGTAGAGAGCTCCACCGCAGGTCGGCGCAGAGGGGCCGAAGGGATCCCAGACGAGGCCCTTCCCGCAGCCCTGAATGGGCCAAGTACCCTCCAACGACCACTCCCACATGCCCCAGAGCCTCCCAAGAGACTCCGATGGGTCCCAAGGAGCTCCCAAGGAGAGTGCCTCGGTCCACGGCACCCTTTCTCCGTCCCTCGAACCCCCGACGCCCCCAAGAAAGGCCTAGACTCCCAAGGCAGGCCCCAGACCACTCCGAGATGCCCCAGAGCCTCCCAAGAGATTCCGATAGTCCCCACAGAGCCCCCAGGAGCGGTCCCAGGACCACTCCGAGATGCCTCAGAGTCGCCCACAAGACTCCGACGCCTACTAAGAGACTCCGACAGTTCCCATGGAGTCCCCAAGAGCGGTCCCAGGAAGAGACTCCCATAGTTCCCATGGGGCTCTCAAGGGTGATCCCAGGACCACTCCGAGATGGCCCAAAGTCGCCCTCGAAACCTCCACCACTACGGCTGATTGCTGATTAGGGGTGACAGGGAGACCTTCTCCTCTAATCTCTTCGTCCTTCACTCACCGAGGCTCCAGCCGCTCTGAGGCCTCCACTCTGCCTGTTAGGGGTGACAGGGGGGACCTGCAGCCACTTCGATCGCTTACCTTCCACGGCCGATTAGGGGTGACAAGGGGGGGACCTGCAGACACTGGGGGGACCAGCCTAGGGCCCAGTAGAGTCCTCGATGGCCCCCAAGACAACCCCAAGACCACGAGATCCCTCCCTGGACCACTCCGAAATGGCGCAGACCCCCAGGACATTCGAAGGCAGCATCCAGCCCCGACTCCCGGAGCCCGCAGCAAATCCTGCAGCTAACCTCATGTGTGACAGGGGCAACCTTCTGACAGCAACCTCACAGCACGCACGCACAAGACGTTTCCCGGACTGTCCCTTCCTGGGCTGTCCCACAGAAGAGGCTCAGCCAGGGAACGGTCCGAGAGGCGAAATCATACGATCCCAGTATAGGCCCCCCTCAGCCCTGTCAAGTAGTACTGCGCGCGAGCGTTCGTTGATCTCAGAAGATAATGTTTAAGAGTTCTCTGGAGAAAATCTCACAACGTCCCCACGTGCGCGCACATGCCGCAACCGCCCCGAGCCACCCTAACGCCGCAGACCACGTACAGCAACACCCCGCACCCCCCCCACAACGACAGCCGACCTCCAATCCCACCAGACAACGACCCGGCCGCCCGCGTCGCCACCACTCCCGCCCACCCTTAGACATATCTCCGGACAAATGGGCATTACGAGAGGCAGATGTGGAGTCAGCGGTGAAACATTCGGGCAACAGCATGCCAGGCCCGGACGGAATTCCGTATATCGCTTGGCGGCAGAGCGGCCAGCTCGCCATCAGGGCCCTTTGGGAAGCCGCCGACGCTCTCCAGAGCACCTCCGGGGAGAACTCCCTCCACGAGCTGAACGACGGCAGCGACCCCGACGGCCACGACTTCAACTTGGGCACCCTCGTGTGCTTGGGCAAGAAAAAATTGACTTGCGACCCAACCCATGGAGACGTTTACACGGCGGACAGCACACGTCTGTTGTCTATCGTGAACACAGACAACAGGATCATTGCGAATGCAGCCCGATTGCGCTGGGAACCGGTCATTAACGCGTGGGTCGGCCCACCGCAGCAAGGCTTTCTTCGACACCGATCACTTTTGAAGAACGTGCTCGACGTCGACTTTGCCAGCATGGCCACCGCACTCCAATCGGACTCCGGCGCCATCATACTCTTTGACTTCGCGTCCGCGTTCCCGTCGCTCTCGCAGGAGTATTTGCACGACATGCTGCGCCACCTGGAATTACCGGAGTCGGCCCGGAGCTTTGTGAAGCACCTGTACGACAACAACCGATGCCAAATTGTGAGCCAGGGACAGACACTCCCAGGCTTCCCCCTGACGGCAGGCGTCCGGCAAGGATGCCCATTGTCCCCTCTACTGTACGCCATCTGCGCGGAACTATTACTAGACAAGATCCAGGCAACTTGTCCGGGCATCTTGGTACGCGCGTACGCCGACGACACCGCCGTTGTTTCCGCAAACTTGTGGGAGGATGCTCCCCGACTGGCAGCCCTCTTCGACGACTTCGCAGCAATCTCTGGGCTGAGGCTTAATCTGCAGAAGACGGTCATCATTCCACTGTTCGCATCCCCGCTCTTGACGGTGAGGACCCACCTCGACGCCCTTGTTCCGAGCTGGTCAACCACGCAGTTGGCCCCTGCAGGGAAGTATCTAGGATTCTACGTTGGGCCGGGCAGCCGCGACCTGCTCTGGAAGGGCCCGCAGGCAAAGTTCAAACAACGCGCATCTTTATGGGCAGGCCACCCGCTGGGACTTCATTGCGCTGCGCTCGCATACAATACCTTTGGGATCTCGGTGTTGACCTTCGTGGCACAGCTCAGCGACCCGACGGATGACGTTCTCACCGTGGAGTTACAATGTCTACGACGAGCCGCTCCCGGCCCCGGTAATTGGGCCACGCCAGAGGATTTATGGTGGCTACAACATTCGTACAATTTTCCCAGCGCTTTCCGGAGTCTCCGGCTTGCCGCCCAAGCAGCACAACTACGAGTACGATTGTGGGACACAGCCTGCGGCGACCACCCCGCGGAACCAGGCATTCCCTTGGACTTCCACCTCCCGGGCGACGGCGCGCGCCCCGCTAACCCTGCCGACCTTCCCCCGCACGCCCCCAACAACACAAACTACAATGGCACATTCAACCGACGCACCCGGTTCCTCAGATCACTTTTGGGCACCACCGACCGCCTGCAGGAAAAAGCAGTGTGGGATCAATGGTTCCAGCACTCCTACCACCTACGCTTGGACACCACATTGTCGGACATGACGACGCTTCTGGGGACACCCACCGAGCTATACCGCTCCATGGCACCGACGCGTCCCACTCCTTACTCCGTGAAAGAATGGGGCCGCATCCGCGCTCGTTTCCAAGCCACCGTGTATGCTCGACTCTTACAGGCGCGCGCCCCGCCAGCCGAACACCGCATCCGGCACAAATACCGACGCTGGTACGTCAACATGCCCGACCACGCTCACATCACTAGCTTGTTTCCAGTCCGGCAGCGCACAGAGAATTGGCATGGCCGGGCAGCTCTCCATCACCTTAAGCAGTTGAACAAGTTGGTGGCTCCAAGGGTACAGTCGGCGGTCTTCAGCACGATGTGGAATCGATGGACGACGGCCCGTCGTTTTCAACAACATGGTGGACCATGCCTCCTGTGCAGAGTGCCCCACACACAGGACGCGATTGAGCATTGCGCGAAGTGCCCGGTGGTGAAGCGGCTTGCTGCGCAGTTCTTGCACCTCGACCCGCACCTGTTCGTGAACCTCCATTCTTTTCTTCTGGTAAATCCTTTGGCCAACACCACGGAGATGCTCACGACCATCGCCCTTCTGGTCTATGCGACGTACAGGTGCACCAATTACCAGCGACACGCCCAGACCCCCCTGCCGACGGCAGCACTTTACGACGCAATGACACAATGGGTACGGGAAGGTGTTCGAGGCCACGGCCGTTCCACCCGCGTCCTTACCCGGCGCTGGACTGCGCACGACTCCCATCCGCTCCCCCGGGTGCCGTGATTCCAGTACCACTTCCAGTAGCAATTGCCCTCGGGGTTCGCACTGCCACCTCCACCAGCCGACCTCCAGCCTCCGCAGCCTCAGCGATCCGACCTCCAACCGCCACCGACTCCACCAACTCGACACTCCGACCTGTCCTCTGTCGCAGCGCAGCGCCCAGCACCGGCGACAGCACCAACGCCAGCGCCACCGCCGGCGCCAACGCCAGCGCCTCCACCAGCGCCTATACCAGCACTGTTGTTATCACCGACTCCAACATCAAAACCAACACTTACACCAGCACCATCGACCAGCACCGACGCCAGCACCGACGCCAGCGCCGACGCTAGCACCAACGCCTGCGCCTACACCAGCGCCGTCGCCAGCACTGCCACCAGCGCCAACACCGGCACCTAATTACGCCAGCACCAACGCCAGCGCTTACACTGGCACCGATGCCAGCACATGCACCTACGCCAGCACCAGCCCCAACGCCTACGTCAGCTCCGACATCATCGATAGCATCAGCATCGACGCCGGCACCGACGCCTGCACCGAGGCCAGTACCGACGCCAGCACCAACGCAGGCACCAGCGCCTGCGCCTACGCCAACACCAAAGCCAGCGCCTACGCCAGCCCCGATGCCATCGCTGACAGCCGCACGGACACCGGCATTGACGCCAGCACCGAGGCCAGCACCGACGCCGGCGCCTACGCCAGCACCAACGCCTGCGCATACACCGGCACAAACGCCATCCCCACGCCAGACACATGAATACCAGGCAGCGTGTTACATATTTACGGCTGGGCACTCCATCGGTCATGCGGCTGGGATACGATGGCTTGCACCACAAAGCTTGCACCACACAGTAGGGTTCGCTTGGCCGCCCTGCTGGTGGGGCGGAAATTCGGGCAGTTATCCGCCAGTCACCACAATTCGTGGGCGGACAAATCCTGCCCCCCCCCAGACAGGAGGGCGCCAGGCACAGCACCACACGTGCGCCCAACAACTCTCCCCCCCCGAGACAGCACCACTTGCAGCTGCACCAACACCCCCACGCCGACGTCAGCCCATACGCCAGCAACAACGCCGGCGCCTACACCGACACCACCACCGGCACCCACACCAGCCTCGACGCCAGCACCGACGCCAGCGCCCGCACCAGCACCGACGCCAGCACCGACGCCAACAACCAAGCCGATGTTGGAAAGCCGCTCCAAAACAACAAGGCCGACACCGACGTTGACGCCCACACCAGCACCACACCAGCACCGCATCAGCACAGCACCACACCAGCACCGCATCACACCAGCGCTTGGACTTGCGACGCCGGCACTCACGCCTGCGCCTACACCAGCACCGACGTCAGCACCGACTCCAGCACCAACGCCGGCCATCTGACGACAACACACCAGAGGATTCATGCGTCAGCACCGACACCAACCCCTACGCTGACGCCGAACCGGACACCAATGCCGCCTACACCTGCATTCGACCCGCGGTCGAATGAACCCTGCCCCTGGTGTCTTATCCCACCCCGTGGGATAATGGGTGCGCCACCCACCCCTTCTATCCCCAACTCCGACCCCCCAACTCCGACGTCCAGCTCCGACGCCAGCACCACCGCGGGCGCCTCCGCCAGTGCAGACACCAGCACCGACACCAGCACCCATGCTTGTGCATGTGCCTTCACCGACGCCAACGCCTACACCAGCACCGACGCCAGCACCGACGCCAGCACCGACGCCGACGCCTAACCCGACACCATTGCCAACGCCTCGACCTGCATTCGACCCGCGGTCGAATAAACCTTGCTCCCAGGGTGTCATCCCACCCCGTGGGATAACGAGTGCGCCACCCATCACTTCTATCCCCAGCTCCGACTCCCCATCTCCGACGCCAGCACCACCGCCAGTGCCTACGCCAGAGCAGACGCCAGCACCGACACCAGCACCCACGCTTGTGCATATGCCTTCACCGACGCCAACGCCTACACTGGCACCGACGCCAGACGTGCATGCGACCCGCGGTCGGATGAACCCTGCCCCCGGCGTCTTATCCCACCCCATGGGATAATGTGTGCGCAATCCATCACTTCTACCTTCAGCTCCGACTCCCCAGCTCCGACTCTCTAGCTCCGACGCCCAGCTCCGACGCCCGCGCCACCACCGGCGACTACGCCAGCGCAGACGCCAGCACCGACACCAGCACCCACGCTTGTGCCTATGCCTTCACCGACGCCAACGTCTACACCTGCACAGACGCCAACACCGACGCCAGCACCAATGCCAACGCCTAACCCGACGTCGATGCCAGCGCCTAGACCTGCACTTGACCCGCGATCGAATAAACCCTGCTCCCAGCGTCTTATCCCACCACATGGGATAACGTGTGCGCCACCCACCACTACTATCCCCAGTTCCGACTCCCCAGCTACGACGCCAGCGCCACCACCGGCGCCTACGCCAGCGCAGACGCCAGCGGCGCCCCTTCCACTACCACCACCCGTGCCGAGCAGTCGCACCTCCATTCCAGCTCCGACTCCTGCTCCGACGCTGGCCCCGACTCCAGCTCCTACCCCACCGACTCCGACCTCCCAACGGATGAATTCAATGCACGACCCTGGCGCAGGGAGTTGCGCTGCTGGGCCCATGGCGCACCGGTACCACTACCCGTGCCCGTCACCTTGCAGCCTCCACCCTGCATGGGGAGGGCTACTAACAATCTTCATCGTGGTTCCGATTGTCTTCATCAGCCGTAGCACCAGCAAGATGGGCAGGGAGATCTTGATACCGGCGCCGGGGTACGACAGTATGATGGCGATGGCGTGAGCCGCTCTCTTGCAGGCCCCCTCCTTTGCGTTCCTCTTCCTCCGTCCCCTCCTCGTTGCCTGGGTGCCCGGGCTCTCCCAGTTCTTAGTTAGTGGATCTGGCCTGGTTCTCCTGCGGGGCAGGTGATCCTTGCTCCCTAATACCCCTTTGTGTTTCACTTGTCCTCCTCCTCCTCCCCCTCCTCCTCTTCGCGTGGCGCTACACTGTCCTGCTCACCTTGTTGTGTCGACGACGGAGTGGGCGCGGAAATCTGCAGTCCAGCTTCCCCGCTTTCCCGCCGGGGTAGGGCCCACTCTGTTGTCCTCTTCGTCCTCCTCCTGCTTCCTCCTCCTGGTGCTGGGGGGAAATTCGTTATGTTTCTTTGAACTCGGCTTTAGGTGTGTGGCGGCATCCGCGTTTTGAAGCCTGCTCTTGTGGCTTGCGGCCCGCCCCAGCAGAATGTCGGACTTTAAGTTTTCGTGTTAGTGCACGGTGCTCAGGGTCAGATATATAACATCCGGCAGCTCAGGGTTTTGCTCGATAGGAGTTGGATTCCTGACCGAAGTGTTTTAGGAATTCCAGTAAGCCATCTCTGTCGCCTCCGGGGGGGAATATGACCGGGGCCCGTTTGGGGTGACGTTAACCCGGCCGGCGTTTTTTAGATTTGGCTTATTTTGAGTTCGAGCCTTCATCCAATGGGTGCGGTGGGGGAGAAAAAAACACACCTGTTGTGCAAGCATTTCGCCATCAGAGACAAGAGCCCTCAGGCTTGTCACCACGGATCTTGCGGATGTTCCGCCCGCGCGCAGTCTTTGACATCGCAAGGTCAAAACGAATCTAGCAATCTCGTCGTCCAGAACCTGCATTTGCATGCCACCGCGTTGCCGCCCGTGACGCCTCGTGTGCGCTCGTGGGCAACCCGTGCGCTGGGTGGGTCCTCTGACGTCGCGCGCCTCGTTGCCGCCCGTGCCGCCTCGTGGGCGCTCGCGCGCGCCCCGTGCGCTGGGCTTGCGCCGCACGGCTTGCACCGAGTCGGGCCCGTCCCTCTGCAGCAGAAGCAACCCTAGTTAAAAATAGCCCGGGGACGAGTGCCAGCCATTTTTTTTTTTTTTTTTTTTGTTTGTGTGTGTGTGTGTGTGGGGTATTTTTGATCAATCGTCAAACATTCCCCTGTAGAAGGACATGCCCGACCTAAAGCTTCCACCACATAGCTTTCACCGCATAGCCTGCGCGGCACAGCTTGCACCACATAAGCTTGCATCACATAGCTTATGGTGCCCATGTCTTACCACGAAGCATGCACCGCACAGCTTCGGCCTCCAGGAGAGCGTTTGTGTTCCTGGCGATCACGGGC